CTCGTGAGGCAGCCTTGTCGCCTGAGGCTCGGTCAACCCCAATGGCTCGAGGATGGGCGGATGCCTAGTCCGGCCGGTCAGTGTGGGAGGACGCAATATAAATACCTGTTTGGGACCTCAGCAAAGGCACAAGGCTGCCATTTGCTTCACCCTACCTAACCCACGCGACTCTGCATCAACACGTAGCATACTGCTGCATACATAAAATACCTCCTGTCGAGCCAATCTCGATTGAAAGCTAGACATCGCTACGATGCTAAGTGGTCAGCTTTGCACCTGCTGATGGGCTCAGTCTCCGGCTCTTATTCGTCTCCCTCGCCCTGCATGGCCTCCGATCTGGCCCTCGGCCATTCTAATATGCTGCAATGACTGTCACTGAGGATAACCGCTCAACTGCATACCGCCGTATCGTTCATGACCGCCAAGGATGGCGCTTTACGTGCGTGCGTGCATCGCTTTAGAAAGACACAGCAGGCTGGCTGCCTATCTGCCATGCCATTGCAATGAATTCTTTCATTTGCCAACGAGGAAGACCTCGTCCTCGTCAGCCGGGATACGTGGGAGCGAAAACTATCGCATCATTTGATTTGCTTCGACTTTATTCTTATGCCCGCTTCCGAAGTAAGGTCTCGGGGCCACGGCTACGCAAGATTCAAAACCCTCTCTTTTCATTTGATTCTGAGTGACATGATCCACTCTTGTCGGTCTCGCTGTTACTCAAGTGAGTGAGCCTGTCTCGTCAAAAACACGTTGCACCAGAAAGTGCTGGGTTCACACTGAGAGGAAGAAATGTATGGATATGACAACCATACTCCTTATTCGGCTCAAAGCAATCGCTCCTCATGACGCACTCTAGAACATGGTCGTATTACACTCACTCACTCACTCCCTCGCATCGCGCGTTCCCACATGCAGCAATCCATATGCAAGTGCAAGTGCTAGGCCGTTCTTCGCCATGGGACGTACTACCGTACCCCGGGCTCGGAACGGGCTTTGTCTCCATTCGCCCACCAAGACTCCTCCTAATGCACGTCTTTGATGGGGATTGGCAAAAATTCGGGCTGGCTTGACTTCGTGGCAACCGCTGAGCCCTCCGCTTGCTGATACTCATCTGCAACCGCCTCTTGCCGTTGCATCTTCTCCTCTTTGTCGCTGGCTTCGCACGCTCGCTCGCTCACTGTTGCTGGTGCTGGTGATTCCCCTCTGGTCAGAGCAGCAAATTGCTTCCTTGCTTTGCACAATTGGCATCTGCAGTCGGGTCAGTTGACTGTTGAGCGTACGCATCTGCTGGTGCCTTTAACACCGAGCAGAACGAATTGAAGCCATAGTCTGGCGTCTCGTGTTACTCGCCCTCGCATGTCATACTGCGCGGGCACCTTGCAGGCGTGAGTTGGAGCCATACATCCATTTGTCTCCTGATGCGCTCTGGGGGCAGAGTTGCTTCTTAACGCTGCATTGCGATACGCTGCCACCATTAGAGTGACAAATTCATTAATCATTACGTTGACACGTCAGATCACAGAGCCTCAAATGTTGATATCCATTATCCGCCCACTTTTCCCACCCAACCTGGAGATAATCTAGTCCTCTCCCTGCGATTGATCATCTCAGATCAAGACACATGGTGCCGTGAGGCTGAGCACCGACCATCGGTCGTGGACATTGCTTCCGTGTTCATGCGGGCACATGCGGAGAGACCGGGTTTTTCTGCTGCATGCGTCCCTCTTTACCTTTGATTACATTTTTAGGCTCTGATGCAGCGAATTTTTGAGCCGGGCCTCACAAAGTCACCTAATAGCAGACTTTCCCCGGAGTGCTTCTTGTTAATAACACTGGCTGGTGGCTCATGATATGTTGAACTGTTGATTTTATCAATGAGGAGGAGAACCTTTCGACCGCGAGACGACCCATTGGAGAAGAGATCGGAAGACGCGTATTGATACCCAGGCCAAAATATGTTTGATGTACCGTCCCCTCAGCATGAAAGAAATCATCTGAAGGCTGTAAAGTCTATATCATACTGAATTACAATAACCGCACGACAAGTCGAGATCGCTGTTCGACCGGCTAAATCGAAATGGACTATACCATGGTTACGGAGGGTTCGATGCCGATCGGTCTCCTACAAGGCTGCTCTCTCGAGGCCGAAAGAGCGGATCGGGTGGCTATGGGCCTCGATGGACTGCGGGCTGCACTCTCCGAGTCTTATCATGCCCACATAGTTGCCGTCACAGAAGAAATTCGCCAATGCGGCCGTTTACTACGGGATCTTCTTACTAGGACTCAGATGCATGTCCAGAGGGTACCATTGACGCTTAATTACCTCCAGATCATCCTCCCATGCCTGTCCCGTAGTCTTCGAGATATCACCAACTTTTACGAGGACAAGGCGTACTCTCGAGAACTCCGCTGGCGGAAGATGTATCACGAGATGTCAAAGGAAGCTTCCGGCCTCAGCCTATATCAACGCTTTATGCTCTACAACACATTCTTATCTATGCTGCTCCAACTACTCACTAGGTATGCATGTTATCGTATTCGTGGGAAATCCAGATGCTTGCAATGATACTCATCAGGCTTGATCAGAGACCCTACCTTCGATGACAATCAACTCGAGGCTCTCCGAAACCGCATATTGGACTTGCGTGAAAAACGGGGAATACGTGGGTGAAAACAACTGTCATATAAAGATGCGAAAACGCTGAT